AACTTCCCTTTCCAGCCGCTCATATCCCTGCGTTACCGAAGCGATCTGCTCTTCGGCTTCTTTGAGGATACGGCCCGCTGCGGCGGTCTGGTCGCGCGTGTGCGTCAGTAGGGGGAGCGCAGACTTAGTGGTCAGCGCATGGATGTGGGTGTCGATCTCCTGAAGATCGAATAATACCCGTGAAAGCGGGGTTGAAAGGTCCAGCGGTGTGTCTGTTGCATTGTTGGTGGCTACAACCAAGGAATTGGCAAACGAGGCGGGTGAGAATTCCGGGTCTAGGAAGGCCTCGTAGTCTATGTATGAGGGTTCACCGTCCGCCATGGCTTGTGGCGTTTGATTGGGAGACAATCAGGGAATCAAACAGGTGAGAAAAGATTGGGAGGATAGAAAGAAGCAGCAAACTAGGAGAATATGGAACTGAAACTCAAAATAAGAGAGGCTTGGGTATCACCGTATCGAACAAAGCAGATGGATTACAGGTCAGCCGTGTTGTTTACCCCAGGTGGCCGCTTGACCGCAGGACAATCAAAGCTTAATGTGGCAGTGACTCCCATGTGATAGAGAGGATAGAATGGGGGATGCTGATCCAGCTAGCCATCGTTCAGCTCAAATGCTCGTGAAGACAAGCAGCAGCAGTTGTTGTTCGGGATGCCATGTGTCGCCTAGTGCATTAGTCAGCTGGCATAAGACGGTGTATATTTCCCAAGCACATCCTGCCAGGTCAGTCTATATCTGACATGGTTTACAACACACTGCATTCACATTGGTCGCTTGTATGTCCGATCATGGCAGTATCATCGTCTTGTGAATAGTATTCTCCTACCACAGTTCATATCTACATCTACTGACTCGCGTTTGCCAACATATGCTTGGTAAGGTTCTGTGTCTTTAAAGGGGTCGATAAACTTTTATCAATCTTAGTTGTATTTTCTCCTTAGACCCATAGTAGACCCACATATAACAAACGAGTCAATCACTGCATGTAAACGATATTTCAGACACACTTATGGCCATATAAACAACCTCGTTATTGTTGTGTCATATTCGTTGGAATATATGTCAATAAACAGCAGCCCAATTCATCAATCAAGGCAAGATGGCCGAGTTGGTCCAAGGCGTCAGGTTAAGGTCCACCTTAATACCCAGCTTCACAGCTTCCTGATCATCGTAAGATGGCGTGGGTTCGAATCCCACTCTTGTCATATCTTTTTGCTTTTCCCACACCTCTCAAGAAGAGAGGTTTGTCTTTTTTTCTGATGTCCCTTGTCGATTGATCACTTTTATTAGGTCAAAGTAGCATAAGGAAACATGTGCTGTTCTAGGAGGCTCTATGTTAGAACTTCTGCAATAGGGTTGTTTTATCTTCAAGGCTGCAGACATCGCAATTGAAATGTAAAATGCATATTATGGACACTTTTGCTAGCAGACACCCGTTCCTTATTGCAGAACCCTTCCGTTGGTCTCTTCAACAATGAGCTCGTACTCCGGCTGGAACTCAGTATAGAAGTTGTGCTGTATCTCGTCAGCCATCCATCCATCCACAACAGATTTTACATAAGGGTAACTCACATGGTTCTGCGCAACATCGGCAGTATACTTCGCCACCTCATTCGAGATGATCCTCTTCGGAACGCCGTTCGCGGCCGCTGCTTCAGCCAGCAACTGCGTGTGGCAGGCATTGTCTAAGCTGAAGTAGAGGAAAGCCGCCTCGTCGACGGTTCGGCCCACAGTGAGAAGACTGTTCTCCTCCGTTAGGACATGATATCCTTGAATTTATAATATGTATCCTACTCACCCATGGTTCTGCAAAATGCAAGCAATGTTGTCCTTTCCTAGGGCACGAGCAATCTGCTCACCCTCCTCCTGGGCAAGGGCAATACCGCCGTGGTCTTCGTAGACACTGACCTTTCCGTAGAGGTTGCATGCATCTATAGATACCAAATTAGACAACCCCTTACAAGTAGCTAGTGTCAAAATGAATCTACTAACCCTGGGTAAGCATCTCAATCGGCTTCCCAAAGGCACTCCACGTCTTCCCATGAATCGAATGCGTATGCGCCGCAGCAATAACGTCAGGCCGGGCCTTGTGAATTTCAGAGTGGATCATGAATCCGGCCTCATTGATGGGCAGCTGAGCACCACCCTCAGTGACATAACCCTCTGCGTCAACGAGGACAAGATCCGATGCTTTGATGGTGGAGAAGTGCTTGGCGAAGGGGTTCATCCAGAAGTGGTCTTTTAGGATAGGGTCTGTAGCACATCCCATTAATACTTGTCGAGCCGAACTTCTGCAATTGCATTGTAACACTTGAAAAAGATCACTCACCTCTCATAGAAATGTGGCCCGACACACCCTCTCCGTACCCTTTCTTACCAAAGAACCGAAACGCAGCAGCCATATGCTCCTTCATCCACTGCCGCTTAGCCACAGGATCACTAAAGGTCGGGATACCCCGTAGCTTGAGCGTTCCGGCGCGATTTCCCCGTGCAACAGATTGGAACTCCTTGTCGTTGGCGGCATCTTCGATGTGGGCTTTGCTAGTGGTGCTGTTGTTGTCGGCCGCTACGACGACGGGGACGGGGTTAGTGGTAGTTTCGGTGATGGTAGCGGACATGGTGACCAGTAGGTAGTAGAGTAGCCTCTCTCTAGTTTGTGATTTAATCTCTGGAATAGAGTGTCCTGGGGAGAAGAGGGGAAGATGAGTTGGCGGGGACAAAGTATAAATAAATGTTGTATGAGGGGCACGCTAGATAGTACTACTAATCTACAATCTTTATCCTTTAGGCTTATCGCAGCCCCGGAATTGCATGTCGAGTAAAATGATAGGCGCACTGCGCCGAAGGGACGGGGGCTCTGATAGCTTGATAAGAGCTGTGCCCCGGCCCGGGGTCGTGCGCCTTCCGGGGACATGGTTCCATCCATGTCTTATAGGGTGCACTTGTCCGGATGCCAGTACCCGGATGTATATTATTCTTTCCTCGAGGATGTAAAGGATAATAATCAAGTATTTGATGCTTGATAGAGGCTGTGAAGTCTGTGATGTTCAACTTCTGTGTTTTTGGGGGGATTGAATGGATTGCCCATTGCTGTTGCAGGCAAACGAGTTGTCCAACCACTCCACTGTATCTTGTTGCTAGATCAGTAGATGTAAATTATGGTTTAACAAACTACCAGGTGTAGTGATGCGGACAGTGCAAGAATAAACCAGCAACACTGTGATGGAAGTGGCACAGTCTGCTGACCCTTCAACGAACTGGATACTATCTCCGGTAAGGTGTGCTAGTGGCTTACTTTCACAATTGACAATTTATACTTTCCACATATTCTGAGGGATATTTATATTTCAGTTGTATATAGTTACAAGACATTCTATGATTCTTAACATACGTTATCTGTAACCAAGCTTGTTGTGATATAGTTAACTAATTTATTCCATGAATGTTAGTATCTATTTTCTACGGTTAGGAAATGTAGATAACTCTATACGGACATTCTTTTGACTGGCCCTGTACTTATGGTTCTTGTTGAGGTGCCAAGGGCTCACTATGTACCAGAGTAGTACTGGTACTACTAGTCTCCGGATATATATCCGAGAGCATCATGGTAGGGTGTGTAAAACCAATGTCTTCCAAATCTATGGCTACTCCTTGCCTCAGCAACCTGAATATATATTTCACACAGTATAAGTTTAGAACAACACGTCGAAGAAATTGAGGAAGAAGTAATAGGCATCATCCAATAACGCCACCAATGCAGGTACCAGCCAGCTAGGGTATACATGAGAAAAGAACAGGAGCAATCGTGAAGATAGACCATAACCACATCCAGTGGGAGTCTCACGCACTCCAAGGTCAAAAAGAAATAATAAAAAGGGTGATAAGGTCATGACAAAGAAAAGGGAAGAAGAACCAGAGAAGAAGAAGGAAATCTATACCGCTGCGTCACCCTTCATTTCCACCATCTCATACTCATCCCCGGCACTGCTACTATCGCGCAAGCCTCGTCCCCTTCCTCTACCCCTCGACAGTGAGAATGACTCCTCTTCACCAGCACCACTTTGTGTCTCACCACTTCCTGAAGCTGCAGCAGATGCACCACTGCTACTACCTCCGCCGATACCACCAAAACTGATGGGCTGCAGTTCCCGCCAACGACAGGCCCAGATGCCCAAGAACGTCATGAACGCGGCACTCGCACCTTGCAGGCCCCACCAGAGCCAATTCGCGGGCACGGAATGCGTGTACAAGGTTGTAGCGATGAGGTGGAGGAAGTGTAGGGTAAGTGCGAAGTCAGGAATAAGCTTGGACCGAGCGACGAGGAGAAGGAGGAATATTGCCCTAGTTGTGGATTTCTTATTAGGATGTGTGCCTTGTGCTGTGGAAAGAAAAGCTGGAGAACTCACCCAATCCCACTGGTCAACAGCCAGACCAAGCCAAGCATCCATCCAATCGTAGTATCACCGCGGAGGGCATTCCAGCTGAAGACAAGGTCGAGGGAGAAGGGTGTACCGTAGACGACCGTCGTAAAGAGGATGAGAGCCGTGGCGGTGACATAGTAGGCGACTTGAAGGAGGAGGATCTTCCGGACAATCTTCAGCGGGGGAAGGTCGGTTCGAGAGCCCGCTCGAGGGGCCCGGCGGCGCGGGGGCATGAACTGTTTATTTAATTGTGTATAGGCGATTAATTTAGGTTGGAAGTGTTGGAGGACCTCCGAACTGCGGTGGTCGGGGAGTGTGCAGTGTGTTTGACCGCAAACGTATCGAACTGAATGGGTGTCTGCGAGACGTCAAGTCTGAATAATGCGTTCCTGAATAACGCCAGCCCGGAAAGAAAATATTTCAGGACAGAATTTCTCAGGTTGTATGACGTGGTGCTGCAGGGCTGATTGATCGATAAATATCCAAAGCGCCGTTCGGCGATGTTGGAGCCAACTTGACCGGACGGGTTAGCGCCACATGACCGGCGTCCGCGGCGGCGGAGCGGAGCAACCAATGCATCATCTCAATAATTGTCGTTCAATATCCGGACATTCTAGAAACCCCATCTACTCCTCGCACCCCTTTTACACCACCACATACACACAATAAAAATGGGCTGGCTTCCCTGGTCCTCCGAATCTACCAACACCGCCTCCGATGGTGGCCGCATAGCTCCCGATCGAACCTCCCGCCAACGATGCTACGAGGGCCGCGACATGTTCTTTTCCTGCCTTGACCGCAATGATATCTTGGATGCAATTAAGGATGACAAGGAGGCGCGCCGGAAGTGTGGAAAAGAGATTGCAGAGTTTGAGACGGCTTGTTCGAGGGCGTGGGTATGTGTTTCTTGCTTTGTTCGTTGCGCTTTGGTTTTCGCTTGTTGCTGGGGTTCACTGCGGCGTGAGAGAAGAAAACCATGGCACTTTCGCCTCTTAGTACTGGATCTGAAGCTAAATGTATACGTTTCAATGACAGGTCAAATATTTCAAGGAGAAGCGCGTGATGGAGTATAACCGGGACAAGACAATTGAGCGGATCAAGAAGGAAGATGCGGCCCAGGTGCAAGAATTGAAAGCACAAGGATGGAACTCTCGGTAAAGAAGATGGGAAAATGAATAATTGAGGTGATTGCTTGTGATCGGGGAAGTGACGGCGCCCGTTGAGGGCTTTCTACCTGTACGATATTGATGTACACTCACCAGGCTTTTAATGACTGCCAGACCGCATGCTACTAGATACTCTCCACTATAGGCTGGAACTGTGGCTTATTAGAATTACCGTGTGCTTGCATTGTGTCTGTCATGCTAGTCACTATGACTGAGACCCCACAAGAATCCGTGGATAAAAATAGATACAATAGCTCCGCATAGAACCCCAACATCGCTGTCCGATGTCTAATTTCAATACCTCAAAGCCAACAGAACCATTGCACCCCTATAACGTGTATTCGCTGATTCGATCGAGTGCGCAAGAAATCAACCCAACAACAGAACCTTCATAACCTTTACCTGCGGTAACGTTCCATATCCGAGTCTCAATCAATCAATCAATCAGTCAACGCCCGACTCCTTAAATGTCGTCAACGACTGCGAAGCCAGAGAGAAAGAGGAAGAGAGGAAAGAGAAAAGACGAAAGAAAACAAGGAATGTCATCAATCATTGCTTCCATTTGCCCAGTTGGTTCATGATGTTCTGCACATGGGGACCAACGGCTGCCTGGTTTTGAGGCTGCTGACCTCCAAGTCCCTTGGCAAGTAACGAAATCAAGTTGGGGTCCGATACCAAAGGAGCATTTGGTGCTTGCAGAGGAAAGGGCGGTGGAGCTAGTGGCTGTTGCGGGTTAGCAGCAACAGGCTGCCGGGTGGCAGCGTTCAGCAGGCTAGCGAGGTCTGCTGCGCCATGCGGCGTGCTGGCACTGGGGAACGGCTGCTGCGCTGTTGGCACAGCTGGCGGCCGTTGCTGGAGCACTCCCAGCAGCGACTGTAGTGTGGGCCCGTCAAGGGAGGTAATCAAGTTGGCAATATTGGGCTGATTGGCGATGGTAGGCAACGGTGCCTGAGGAGGCACTGTTGCGGCCGGAGCAGGAAGCGGGGGAACCCCAAATGCCGGGTTGGGGGGAAAAGGCGCCGGGGGAGCGCCACGCTGCATCGACTGAGCATGGAACACAATTTCGGCCGCGATACTGGGCTCGACATCGGGGTATTCTAGCAGGAACACTGTCAGCGAACCACAACCCATGCAGAACTACTGAGGATAATGGCGACTCACCGTTGGAGCGAACATTGTCTGCCCCCCCGCTTCGGTCAAACACCTGCAGGGGGATTTTCCTAGAGAACTGACTCGGGCGCGAAAGCCTCACTACGGCAAGTACGCCCTCCTGGATCTGTCGTTGAACAGCAGCGTTCAGGGGAATTCGGGGTCCAAGGACGAGCACATCCACCCGGAGACCCCGGTTACGGAAAGAGTTCTCCACAAAGAAAATGAAGTTGCTGGCCACGGCATTAGACATTGCATGGACAGTCAACAGAAGGAAAACAAGAACCACTCACCGATCCAATTCCTCGAGCACAAGGATTTGTACTTCCGGTACGTCTCTCGGAGCTCGCCGAGGAACGGGCAGGTCTGCATCACCCTCGTAAGACCCACGACCCCGTGGGCTTGGGCTGCGATATCTGCGATCTCTCGCGTAGGGCGACCGGGAACGCCGCCTCTCACGCCGATCGTACCGCTCTGGAGTTCTATCCCGAGACCGGTACCCGTCCCTGGCGCGGAAAGCACGAGGAGACGGCGAGCGAGGCGGAGGGGGTGGCCGATAGTCGTCACGTCTACGGTGACCGGGCTCATCCCTAAAATCGCTGAATGGCACGCGCCCCGATTCGTATGAACGGTCGTAACGGTCAGCCGGGGCTCTCGCACTGCGGCTGCCAGAAGGACCACTCCGGCTGAATTCTGGAGACCTCGAGCGCCTTGGTGGAGGAGCGCGAGAAGGTTCTGCCGGGGCGGCCCCGGGCCTTGTGCTCCTCTGTGGCTTCGAAATTTCGAGATCTGGTGCAACACGGATGAGTCTCAAGCGAGGACATCCATTGTCGAGTGGGTATACTTACGGACTTTGCGTCCTCTAACAACAGCTCCTTGCTCAGCGTCGAGAGCCTGTTTACAGGCAGACGAGTCAAGGAACTGGATGAACCCGTAGGCCTGCTTGATGGATATTTGCGCCAACTTCCCAAACTTGTGGAAGATGTGGAATAAGTCGCGCTTCGTCACTCTTTCAGTGGGCAGATTACCTGCGACCTCGGTCAGATCACTGTTTGGACCCTTGTCTTCATACACAGCAAGTAGTACTAACCGACAAACAATCTAGACCCCGGCGGGAACCGGTCCCAAAGACCTTCGGTTACGTAGATCCTCTCGTCATGCAGAAACTCATCGTACTTCTTCTGCACCTCGGGGCCCCAAGGCGTGTCTTCATCGGAACCCTTGTTCTGCCGGGCCACTACCCGTTCAGCGCCACCCTTTTTGTTATTCACTGGTCCTGGGGAGTCCTGAGTCTCGGAGGTAGTAGTAGATGTAGACTGCTGGAAACTCGGCACGGGGGGAGGGGGCAAAGCGCTGGCACCGGAGGAAGTCCCCGGTGCGCCAGCCGCAGCCAATGATGGGAGGCCCAGATTGGACTGATAATTACTCTGCTGGGCGGTGTAGGTGGAGGAGGGGGAGGGCTGTGCATTGGAAGTATTAGGGGGGAGCTGGTGATATGACCGGATGTCATCACTGGCATTGTAGCTGGGATGGATAGAGGGCTTCTCCTGGGGAGGGGGGCGAGGGGGAAGTCCCAGGGAAGATTGGAGCGCCTCGTCATCCGTTCCTGCCTGGGGAAGGGCAGAAACGTCTGTAGACAGAGGCGCTGTCTCTGAGACCGCAGGGGCAGAGGGCGCAGTGGAAGAAGGGGGCAGATTATCGAGGAGGTTCTGGAAATCGACACCATCCTCACCAGTGTTATCATCAGCTTTGCTCTGGGAGTCTAGGCGAGTTTGCGGCGCGGGCTGGGCGATCCAGCTGGCGACTGCGTGGTCTACCTCGCTCGCACTGGGGGTGTCTTGAGCGGCATGGGAGGAAGAGGGAGGGACATCGGGGGGAGGAGGAGCTAGGAGGGAGGCGGGATCTGATGGAGGCAGAGTGGTTAGAGAAGAGTCTGTTGGAGCGTCCTGGGCTGCGGAGGAGGTACCGCCGGCCATGGGAGGCGCGGGTTGGTCTGATGCAAAGGACGCCTGGGCAGTTGTAGCCGTAGCAGACAGTGCGTGGGCAATCTTGTTCATCGATCCATCCTCCACCTGCGACGAATCCGAGTGGAAGCTACCTTGAGTGTTTGGTGGTTGGCGCGGTGGTGGTTGCTCCGGCACTTGCACGGAGCCAGTAGTTCCCCTCACTTCGCCGGGCCCTGCATATTGGCCACGAAGTGAGGTGAAATCATTGGGATGCGCCTGGGAACTATTGCCAAGGAAGGCCTCGGACTTCTCATAAGTCGACGTGTCGTTAAAAACAGGGTCCATTTGATTCTGAAGCACCGGGATCCTGGCGGGTTCCGCGACGTGTAGCGGACGAGGGCTCTCGGGAGTCAGGGTCTTGCCGCGGAAGTGAAGAGCTTCATCTGGGGAGCTGGGCGTCATGTAGACCAGGGGGGAGAGGTCGATTCATCTACAAGAGCACACAAGAAGGTCCGACAAGAACCACACGGAGATGGGGATTTTGGAAAATCGACAAAGCTAAGGTGGGGCTATCTTGCAAAATGAACCGGGCCGTTGGAGCCGGGGCGGTAAAAGGGATAGCAGTAACCCAGAGGGAAGTAGTAAAAGAGAGAGGGGTGGGCTTCTTTTTTTTCTTTCTTGTCTTCCGATGGTGTGGATGGGTAAAGTGTAAAGAGACGGATGGCGAGAGAAAAGATAAAAAGACAAGCCACACACACACACAGTCTCTGACACTCACACCCCTGGATCCTGTCCGAGGATAGCACAAGAACCAGTGAGACTTTTTTTTTTGGTGAAGGGAGGCGGGGGAGGGAAGGAGAAAGCGCGTAAATAACAAAGCGATAAGCGCAACGGAGAAATGGATGGAGTAAACAGTATAAGAGAACAACCGAAAAGGAAAAAAGAAATAATAGTACAAGGATGGGTGAGCAAAAAGGGGAGAAAGATCAGGAACAAGCCGTTATAGAAAGCTCTAGCAAGATGGAGTCACGGAACAACAAGGAAAGGCGATGAGGAAGTGAGAGATGAGGAGGAGCGCGTATTATTTCATCAATACCCAATGACAATTGCCAGGAATTGGCACAGAACGAGGGACAAACGATCAGCAGACGCAAGATTGCGATGGAGGAGCTAAAATGGTAAATGGAGCAGGGAAGAAACAATTCCTTATCCACCAGATGGATGATGGATGGCTGGACTGCTTTTTCGCGCTTCACACAGATTCAATCTCTGGTGGTGGAGGGGGGGGGGGATGGAAGAGAAAGAGGAAAGAGGAAAGGGTGGTGAGAAAGAATACTGAGAAGATTCGAGCTCCACGGCGTAACTTGAAAGTTACGGAAAGGTCAAAGTTTGCGCAAGTCAGTACCGGCACCATGCCTGATCGGGGTGTTTTAGTGCTTCAGCAGGTCCAGCCATGCGGTGTGACTGGCTGGATCGGACACTAGCGGCGGGTCATGGCGCACCTGGATTTTTTTCTCTTCTGGAACTGGCCGCAGTTGGCATGGGTATCAATTAGTCAAGCCCGACTACTTTTGTACTAACTACGGAGTATCTAGACTAACACAGTAAACTAAATAACGTTAAGTCTCTCTAAGAATATCCCTGGGCCCCATGATGCCATCTTGCCATCTTGCCATCTTCGGGGCCAGATCCTTGTTGCCTCGCTCCGACGGAGTTCTTCCGTCTGTGGTGACTACACAATAATACTAATAAATAATAACTAAGTAGTAACTAGCTAGCTTGGGCTAAGGCTCGGAACACTTGGAAGTCAACTGACTGGCTTGTTGTTGTTGTTTGGAATGCCACCTTGGTGTCGGTATCGGAACCATTGTTCATGATTTCAAGCGGTGACCGACCCAACCTATCCATCTACCTACTTAGTACTCTTTTAGTCTGAAGAATCTAAACATCCATCTTTGATTAATGATCAAGCTACTATCTCACTAAAAATCGCACCCGAGGCCGACCGCTGCTAACTACTGAGATTGGTGTCTACCCTACCCGTCGACGAACCATCAGCCCGACCCTGCCGGTCACCCTACTTTTAAATTACCTGACGGGTCCTTGGTGAAAGTAACTCCGTCATATCCGTACTAAAAGCTACTTTACTCTAGCTCGGCTTCTGGAAGATCCTCGTGCTTGTTACTCGTTAGCATACCCATCCTTAATTCAATGTCCCTGTTCCTATCGGTCCTACCTGCAGCTGCGCGGCACCTCCCTTCCCCGCGCACTGCTACTGCTGCTACTACTGCTCCTGCTACTGCTGCTGCGAACATGGTGCGAGCGAATCATGTAAGCCGTGGATTAGAATCCATCATGGCACATGCCCGGCTTTCTCTCCCCCGTAATTTTCACCGCGTTTCCCTCGCTTGCTATTATCCCCCTTCGTCCCGCCCCACCGTCGCGACACGAACCTTTGCGTCCAGGCGAGCCGCCGCCATCTCGACTCCCTCGGGCCTAGATTCGGACCACCACCTGACGGCGGCTAGGGAATGGGTCGCTAGGCTCAATTCAAAGGCTATCACCATCCCGCGTGACATCTGCGAGATTTCCTTTAGTCGTTCTAGTGGCCCTGGAGGTCAAAACGTGAACAAGTCGGTTGCCGCCATCGGTCTGAACCAGCCACTCCCAATGATTGGTGACTAACATGTATCTGTCAATGCTACTTCGTATAGGGTGAACTCGAAAGCCACATTACGAGTCCCCCTCAAATCATTACTGCCTTTCGTCCCCCAACTTCTACATGCCCCGCTGCAAGCGTCTCGATACGTCGCGGCGAAATCCCAGTTTCTGGTCATTCAATCGGATGAGTCGCGCAGACAGACCGCCAACGTGGAGGCTTGCTACGATAAGCTCCACCAGCTCCTCAAGAGCATAGCAGAGGACACGATTCCCGGAGAGACTTCGCAAGAACAACGTGACAAGGTACAAAAACTGTATGTATTTCTCCTCTGGGTATTTAGGATCCACTTTGAGGAACCTGCGAACCTCGGACTGATCTAGCGCAGAAAGAAAGCTGCAAACGAAGCCCGCATCAAGTCGAAGAAAATGCACAGCAGCAAAAAGAGCAGCCGCCGGGGTAGTTATGACGACTAACAAACATGCTAACTTTTCATCACCTAATAACCAAGAGGACCTTTCCCTCATTCTCATTGCCCATTAAGCTTGCGACGGAAAAAGCCCGATAAACGCCGATGAATGATTTAAATGAAATGTAAGCTCTATGCTTCCTGTACAATGCGTTCCGCGTTACGGATAGTCGCAGAAATCGCCTTTTGGAGAGACGCATCCACGCCTTCTGTCTTCTCAAGGGGCTGTAGCCAGCTGATGATCTCCTTGGCGACGTTGGGGTTATTCCGGTACTCCTTGATACGGGCAAATGATGCGCTAAACGCACGTGGGAATTCGGGCGAAGTGACCTGGAGTCCGGCGGTGGGGAATTTGATGTAGCAGATTTGCGTATGGGGGCTGTTGGGCTTGCTCTGCTGCATCACGTCGACCACATGGCCGAGGATCTTGTGCAGACAGGGCAGGTCGTCGAACTCGACCGCCATGTCGTAGAATTCATGACCGAAACGGTCGTCGTTTTCGAAGTTCTTCATGGCCGTATCGAAAATGGCGAGAGGGATAGCACCAGTCAGGGCAGGGGTGTTGGCAAGGTTGTCCAAAGCGACTTGGTCCACACCGCCATCCTCTCCAGCACCGGGGTTGATATCTTCTCCAGTAATCTTGGGCATAGCGATCATGTCGGCATCCATATCATCCTCCTCCGCTGGCTTCGGGGCTTCAACCGGCTTATCGAGACCCAAGATTCGCTGTCGAGCAACCAACTTGGCGATATATATCAATTCCAGTTTGGCATAGTGGAGCCACAGCTTCTTAGAACTTTTGCAAAAGCGCAATCCGCGCTGCATGTAACCTCTAGATTGTGTCATATCCGCATGCTCATCCACAGAGTATTGCGCAGCGTATAGCCACAAATCGACGTTGGCGGGATGTAACCGCAAGGCGTCTGTAAGGATGCTCGAGACCTTTTTGTAGGCTTTTTGTTGTTTCGCGTATTCGAGGTACTGCACCCACAAGCCCACATCCCCATGGAACTTGCGAGTCGCGCGGTCAAGGATGAAAAAGATGCGCCTCTGCCCAGTGTATCCCGCCGACCTGATTCCCAATCGCTTCACCCTCTTCCGGCGCAGGGTGTCTAGGTTCATCTCGTATTGCGCATATCGGACGAAGTCAATGGGCAGGGCGCCACGTGCATTCAGCTTGTGCTCAAAATCGGACCGTTTCTTGATGATGGCTGTGATTTCCTCCTGCAAGCAGATGAAACGGCATGTCAGTTTTCTAGGCGCATTGAGGTGGGTAGATAGATGATGACCATGAGCGCCAATTACCTTAGAGAAGATTTTCTTCCGCTCAAACTCCTTGAGCTCAGGGACTGACTTCTCCAGAAAGAAGCGGGCCTTGTCCGTAGCAGCTGACATGATTGCTCTGGATGGCTTTAGCAAGCAGCGACTTCAGCAGTTCCTTTGCAACCCAGAAATCCAGCCAGAACCAGACGATAGGCAAAAAAAGTTGTCGGCATCCCGCACGAGATCTCCGCTCAGGGACCTGGCCGCCTGCCTGATCGGGGCTAGTGGCTGGAGCGCGCCGCCCGCGTGTTGCCGAGCCTCGCTCCGAAGGTCATCCCATCATCTGTCTCTCACCTTCAGGGGAATCTTGGGCTTCTCGCTGTTGGGATTCTTTGTACGACCCGCTCTTTCGCTTTTTCTTTTCCCTTCTCATTTCATTTCTCTTTCGTTGACGCTCATTTCTATCCCCCTTAGTCTGTTTTTTTCTATAGCTTATTCTTTTAATTGGCCGGAGTCCGTGCTCGGTGCCTCCCTGTGCTGCCATGGCACCCAGATATAAAGATGGGGATGCCGTTGTGGCGGTTAGTGTCTCTGCGCTTCGCGGTTTGTCAAGCTAATTGACCATCTCTCAGGTCAATGGAAAATGGATCTCTTGGGCACATACGGCTGTGGCCTACACGGCCTTCTTCAGTGCCCTGGTAGTGGGAATGTCCTTGCATTTCCACAAGATTGTCCAGAACGAACACTACGGCTACCCTGATGAATGGTTCCCTTCCGTGTCGGCCACCATCGGTGATCGCTATCCTGAACGCTCTTTCTTCCAAGTCTTCATTGCCATTACTTCCGGTCCTCGTTTCGCCCTCGTCTTCCTTTGGTACCTCCTGACTGCCCGCCCTAATTCCGCCCTGCCAAAGCTGGTCGCTGGTGTGGGCTTGTTCCGGACGTTCACATGCGGAGGCTGGACTTACGTTACCTCGACCGATGATCACGACTGGCACGATATTTTCATGATCTCGTATCTGGTGGCAACTTTGCCCTGGACTCTTGGTTGCCTCGCCCTCAGCCCGAACAACCGCCGCGCTGTCAAGTACCGCAAGATTCTGGCCAGCCTGTTCTTTGGCACTCTGGTGCCATTGATCTACTACTTCATCCAACACAAAGTGCACAAGGTTCCTGGGGGTAAGATCGCATGGATGCTGCTGCTGCTGTGGATGAGATCGTTAACCTTTGGCCAGCTTACACGAGATACGCCTTCTTCGAGTGGTCGCTTATTTTGTTTGATGTCGGATTTGATGCCGTCACAGCTCTTGACTTTGACGCATTCGAGATTGTTGTGAGGGATGTCAAGGGGGTTAGCAGAGGGTATGTACAATGGCTTCCAAAGTAATGCAGAGCAAGAGAGGAAAATGTACAGTCGCCAAAAGATGGTTGTCGGTATTTGAAAGACGTGATCTAAGATTCGCAAACTTCCAGGCAGTTGAAGACCACTGCGGACTCTGTCCTTGAAAAAGAGTGTGTACAATCTGATTTCCAGACTTAACCTGAACATGGCAGTTAACTCGTAGTCAGGAAGGGCAAGCCTGTCGGAAATACGTTTGGCGAGGGCTTTTTCTGGTCTGAAATCATCGATGCTGCTGCGGACGTCTACAATGGGGTACGCTTCAGATTGGGCTTTCCCTCAAGTTATGTGGTTGCTGATAAGATGTAGTTCGTCTTCTGGACCCTCTGCACTGCCCTTCCCGTTCTCGTCTGGTGTAAGTAGTGCGTTTCTTATCTGCAGGATCGCATGTCTGATTGGATGTAGACTTCCCCCTTTGGCACATGGGTATCTCCGGATATGAGGCAGCCATTGTCTGCTACCTTTCGCCTTTACTCCTCGGCATCCCGGCCATCAAATCTGCGGCAATCAAGAACCCTCGCCTTTTCCACCTGCTCTCGCTGTCCGGACTCCTGGCATATAAGGTTCAAGACCCTGCCAACCGCCTCTTCGTTATGGGCTTCGCCGTTATCTGCAGCTGTGTGACCTGGGCCGCTAGCTTGTATGCGGAGAGGGCGAACAACGTCAGATTGGAGTCCCGTATCCTTTCATGGAGCATCGGTTTGATTCTGTCTAGCGTCGCCAAGTTCGCATGCGCTACCAACAACCCTTTGTGGCCAATCATGCACGCTCAGAATGGTGGATGGAACAAGATTGGACTTCTTCTCGCCGTCCTGGCTGTCCTTCGATCCTACCGTAGACCTGCCACGAGCGGAGGAGATTATCTGCCGTCGAGTGGAAAGAAGGGCTCTCCGTTCCTGGCCGGTCTGGGTGTTGGTGGCTTGATGTTCGCCATGCACTACCTTCTTTCGGACTCTAGTACGATGATGTCTTGGGTCTGGGAGGGTTATCCGGTGCGGGGCCCCATCGCGGCTCCCCACGGTGCCGTCACCATCTTCGTCATGGGTGCTGGTCTCGTCTACGGCCTCTTTTATCCTTCTGTGGCCGGTAGTTGGACAGCGTTCGGACTTGGCTCTCTAGGTGCCAAATTCCTTACCTGCTACAGTCACTGGACCGGATACTATGGTGGTCTTGTCCTCACGTTCTACCTCCTGGCCGTGACTCCCGTTCTCCTTTCCTCGGCCGTTAGACATTCTCCTGCCTCTACGTTCGGTGTGGGCTGTGTCTTGTACATTTTCTTGATCCTGTTCCACGTTTGGGTCGTTGCTTACGCCTTTGTTCCTGGTGGATACCTCGTCAGAGAGCACACGGATTGGGTCGTGATTACCATCATGTTGTCCATTGGCGCTGGTGTCTTCTCGGCGGGTGTGTCGAATGCTTCCAGCCCGAAGATCAAGGCCGTTAGCCCCAACAGCAGAAGACAGCGTTCATACTTCATCTACGTCCTCGCGCTCCTGCAACTGCTCTCCGTCTCCATCGCATACCTCCGCTTCCCCACTAATGACTACACTCCTTATCACAAGGACGACAAAGTTGCCACCATGGGCATTTGGACGATCCACTTCGGCCTTGATAACGATATGTGGGCATCTGAGCGGCGTATGCGCGATGTAATCCAGGAGCTTGAGCTTGATGTGATCGGCTTGCTTGAATCAGACAACCAGCGCATCATCATGGGTAACCGTGATGTTACGCAATTCTTGGCAGACGACCTGGGAATGTACGCGGACTTTGGACCGGGTCCCAACAAGCACACCTGGGGCTCTGCCTTGCTCTCCAAGTTCCCGATTGTCAACTCCACCCATCACCTACTCCCTTCACCTGTTGGTGAGCTTGCCCCAGCCATCCACGCCACTTTGGACATGTATGGCGAGCTTGTTGATGTCGTGGTCTTCCATTCGGGTCAGGAGGAGGATCCGGAAGACCGTCGTCTGCAAACGGAGTACTTGTCCAACCTGATGGGTTCGTCGTCTCGTCCGATGGTGTTGCTGAGCTACTTGGTCACCAAACCGCTCGAGGGCAACTACAACACTTATGTCAGTGATATTAGTGGTATGAAGGACATTGATCCCACGGACTGGGACCGGTGGTGCGAGTACATTCTGTATAAGAAGTTGAAGAGAACAGGCTACGCGAGAGTTAGCCGTGACTCGATCACCGACACTGAAATCCAGGTATGCTCCTTTGGCCTAGTTCACTCCACAGTTCTCTCCCCTCTAACTAGCTATTTTTGATAGGTTGGTAAATTTGTGATTGGCGAGCCGGAGCCGGAAAATGAACTGCGTATTCCCGAGGAAATGGTCCCTGAAGGCCGTCGATTCCCTACATTGTTCCGCGGCCAGGGAGTTCGTGGTCATCGGTACCATGTCTTTGACGAGCCCCGATACTGGCAATGAGTGTTAGCTCTCGATTGAAGGGGCACATCATTCCAGATACCTCTGAGCAACATCGAATGTCTTCCATATACTGTTCTTGAGTATAGTTCATACGACAAGCATACCAGCATTGCGTGGCCAATTGCCTGCGGTGATCATATGTGGTCTTTTATCAACTCGTACATAATGTCATCTTTCCCTTGTCCTTCTATTCCCATTCGAAGATGTGTAACAAATCCGCAGCGAAGGTGCACTGTGAAGTGCTGTACGGACTACCAGGCCCACGGACGACGGGGCTGCCCTTGCCTGCTGTTGGGTTGTAAACTTAGTAGTTGAAGGGGATGGCAGGAGCTGAGGGTCCTGGTCTCGTGCCTGCCTGCCTGACTGCCTGCCCCTCGTTCTGTGGAACGTAGTCCAGGACTGACCTTTACCTTCAGTGCATCCTTGACTAACTGGGCTGTGGAATGCGAAACCGCCAATTAAGCATGTTCGCCAGGTCGATGTGACATAATCTATATGACAAGGTACGCGATGCTGGTAGTTTCTACAGCGAAGCTCTGTACTGATCAGGTGCAAAGATCATCACTGTTCTCTTGATGATTCTTCTAGAGTAGGCAATCTTGTCAGAGAATACAGGCCAGTCACATCATAAAATCAGGTTCCAGCTCATGCCGGTTGTGTTGAATCACTATCCTGGACGAGCACCAGCGAGCACGGCTACCCAGTACAAAGTACATCACACCATAACAAAATCTTTTGACTAAGATCAACACTCAAGCTACCCACAAAAGAACATTCCAACGACATTAGAAACTAACGCTGAGGCAAGTAAGCACTTTTCATTGCTAGTTTACCAGTCATTCGGTGTCAGCAGCGCTAGGATTCCTCCGAGGAATGTACCGGGTACTTTGACTTTCTTTGTTGATCTTCGTCCCAGTTTTGCCTCCCCTAGATGGAGATTGTTTGATCTTTATCAGGCAACAATGAAAGAAAAGAAGGAAATTTCTTCGATTATCTTCTAGGGCGGAAATGTGCTGAAAATGTACATAGGAAAGGCCAGAAGGACATCTGACAGGTGTGATGAGGGCCATGGAGAGACGATATTTGACGTCCTTTTTCTGCTGTCCTCGCGGGATTTACCGTCCCTGTACGTTGGATGCTCAGCGAACTGAAAGTGACGGATCTTTCTCTACGGACTGAACTAACTGACCGATTAACAGCACAACTTGCGAGAGACTTGCTCCTTCAGGGCGAAGATTGCAGCAAAGTGCATGAGTGCTTTTGCTCAGACTTCGGCGGGTATATGAAGGTTTAGGTAAGTTTAGCATCAAAATCAATTGGCTTTGTTACTGACAA